GCTCCTCCCAGAACTAGCCAACTCTTAGAGGCAGCAAATGGTTCCCCTGAAAGTAACTTTGTGTATGCAAACCGGCCAAACCAGAATCCACACCCGTCTCCCTCCTCCTTTATCAAGATGTCACTGTTGAGCTACTATCCCCTTGCCCTAGTATCTCTTGGGAGGAGGGTACCAGACAGTGAAGGGCAATTCCTGCCCTGGAGCTTGACCAGACCAGTCAGTGATAAACCTGTTTAGCCTGCTTACCCTCCTACTTCCCTTTGCTTCCTCACTGGGCCTGGTGCCTCCCCTTGGCCATGTCCTGTCTCCTGTGCTTAGGATCTGTGAATATAAATATTTTCCATTGTGACAGGCATTTCCATGTATGTGTGTCTTCCATATCTGATTAAACAAGTGCTGGGTGTATTGTTGGAAGAAAATTCTTGATCTCAGAGAACTGGTCAAAGAGTTTTTACTCTGTCCCTCGAGGTAGACAGACTTCTGTCCAACTTGAGCTGTTTGAAGCATCCCTGACACCTCCCAACAGTTCTCTAGCAAAAGTGAAGGAACAAGAGCAGTTACTGGGGATGAGTCTTCATGAACATAGCTTTGAGTGATGTGGAACAGTGAACTGTAAACAAAGAACATACAAAAAAACCTCTCCTGTGATTTTTAGGGAAAAGTGACATTCTCCTTTTCACATGTGTCTGTAAGATTTCAGGTCTTTTTTCACTCCAGTCTTAGAGGCTTGGTTCAGCTCATGAATCCCTCTCAAAATTTTGTTTTGCTCAACTGATTACTCAACTTTCAAAGTAAAATTTATATATCCCAAGACCAAATGCCTTCGCCTTTTAGTATTGATGACATGGCTTGGGAAGGGGGTCCTCTGTCTGCAACTCAAAGAGGTTCTGGCTCTACCAGATATTAAATCTTACAATAAACTTAGAGCACTTAAGACAATATGGTATTGATGAAATTATGGAACTAAAAACAGATCCAGAAATTTATGAAAACTTGGCATTTTACAGAGACGTCACTAAAAATTATCCTGGGACACTTGCTTATTCCCATAGGAGAAAAAGGAATGGTACTGTACTTTGACTTCACATTGATTTACTTATGATATTTAAAAGTTATCTTTCATTAAAATGTACTGCACCAACTTACTTATTTTATTACTTTTCTCTAACTTCTTTCTTGGTCCAATATTTACTGTCTATGATCTATTTTGTCCTTAGATTATGTACCTCATAACAATAAGGACTCCATCTGTTTAATTCTCCCTGTATTGCCTAGTATGCTGTTTAATACACTTTGTGTTTGCTGAATGGCCAACATGAAGGAACCTTTTAAACTGGAGAACTAGGACTTCTGGTTTTGACTTAATTATAATACTTAAATACTGTGTAGAGGAACATTAAACCAGAGAATACAGCTTTTAGAACCATAAAATCATAGCATATATAAAATTATATTTAAAAGCTACAAATACAATACAATACAATTTAGACTAATAGGGTAAGTTATATGTAACAGATGCTGATGTCTTAAAGGTAAACCACCAATATTGGGTTCAGCAGTACAAGAAGTTGTTCCTTTGATTGAATATAATGTGTCTTCTGTGAGTCATGTGGTCATGAGTGTCTTTCACAATTGTAGTGAGTTTGTTTTTACACAGTATGAATTAGAAAGACTTCAACATAGGACTCTTTTGCTACATAAGTTGAACTGAACTCTTACTGTACACATTTTCACCAATGTTAATAATAGCTCTGAGTATTTAGTTAGTATAAGATACTTTGTTTATGCCTTCTCTTATATCCATTCATCTAATTAATACACTTTAATAATTTATTTAGTTAACTTGGTTTATAAAGCAAAATATAATTACTCATTACTCAAAAGCAGTTTAGTCACTAGCAGTTTAAAACCTGATGTATTGTGAGTCTATGCTCAGTTCATTTAGGATTTAAATTCAATTAGTTCAACTATTCATGTTGCTCCCTAAAATTGTTTGTCCCCTCCTCCCTATCCTTAGGAGATATCTGGAATTACAGGGCCTTCATATAATAGTTTGGTAAGAGTGACTGGGAGATTGGCCTGCTCAGTTCCCACCCTGTTTTTGACCTGGTCCCTTCACTGCCCAGAATTGGTAGGGCTGGGCTCAGCTTCTCCCCCACCTATTCCCAACAAACCAGTGCCATAGACCACAGGAGTACACAGGCTTGGGGCAGGGTTGGTTTTCTAGCCTCCAGGTTCCTGGGGCTGTTCCTGGGATCTGTGATGCTGTGGGGGCCTTGGTGAGATTAGTAACCAGGCTTTCTTCAAATGTAAGTCTTAAGTATTTGGAAACATGGTTCCTGAGTTTCCATGTATACTTCATACATGTTAAGAGCAGGCTTGTATATGAAAAAATAAACTTATTCTTCTTTATAAGTAACTTGGCTATTTTCAGCCTTTGCTATGTCCTTTCATCTGTTCATCAAGCTCCAGCCTCAGCACCCTGGTCCTCCTGATTGGTTGTTGTTGCACTTATTCTTGGCTTATTCTAATTATTTTCCTTTTGCCAATGCAAAAGACCCATGTTTCTATTGTAAAACCATGCTTTAAGGTATTTTATTTAGCTTTGAATATATTTTTCATTGGGAAAGTCAGTCTATCCATCCTTCAGGAAACAGGGTGGCACCTTGTGCTAAGTATTAGAACATCGTCATTTCAAGTGTGCTCAAAAACACTCATGAATCTAATTGAATCAACTGTTCTGCTTCTTCCTAACAAACCACCTACAACGTATGATAAATTCAGACTATAGCAATGCATCCTCCTCATGATTCAGTGGTTTAGCTCATCTGAAGCTCTCACCAAGCTCACCCAAAAAGTCACATTCATTTGTGTGGTCTGCTGGTCCAAGATGGCCTCGCCCACCAGACCACACGTTCTCTTGCCTTGCAGCCTTTTTACATGGGTTTGGATTCTGGGAGAGTGAAGGAGAGATCACACAGTGGTCTAGACTTAGGTACTATGAGTTGCACTGTGCTCTTTGGCCAAATTTTATAAGTCAAAGCCAATCACAAGACCAGTTCTGACTTAATCAAAGAGAAGTATAAACTCTTCCTTCTGAGAGATGAGCAGCAACACCGTATTGCAAAGAGACAAGAATAGAGGGAAATGTAAACCATTATGGTAGGGTTGCCAGATCTTAGCAAATAAAATACAGGAAGCCCAGTTACATTGGAATTTCAGAAAAGCAGCCAACCTTTTTTTAGTAGTAAATATATTCCAAATATTTCACAAGACATATACATGTTCTTTTTAAAAAACCCTCATTGTTTATCTGACTCCAAGTTTAACTGTGTCATGTATTTTACCTCAAAACTCTAATTAATGGCCATTATAAAAATAGTTTATAACAAACATTACCTCTCAACCTGAACATAAAATAGTGATTGCTTATTTCAGGAAATCTCAATCCGTGCATATTCCTAACACAATATAGAAAAAACATTTTAGAGGTTAAGTTTGAGGGAGTTTAGAACTCTGTGTGAACATTGTTAGCTCATCTCTAAAGACAGTGGCAAGGCCACAGAAGTTATTTCTACTGAAATATTTCATTATCTTAGGATACGTGATTCTACCATTTATCACTTCACTAAATTTACAACTCAGATTTACCAAATCTTTCTTATTCATGATCATTCTTATTTCTGTTCCCAGATCACTGAAAAGATGAAGAATAACTCATCCTTCATAAAGCAATGTGCCAGCACTGTTGTGGTGAAGAGAGGTTCCCAGGAACTCTCCCTGCTTATGTCCAAGCATGACTGTCCCTTGGCGTTGCCTTCCTGGCCACAAGGAAAACTTCAGGGAATGTAGATGGAGAGCAATGCTCTCCTTGACGTGCTCAATGACACCACTCCTAGATCACAGACATTTCTAGAAGGACCTTGTGCTGGCAGGAATAGTACTGCCTGGTGTTTATGTTTATCTCTAATTTCTCTACCTCCAACTTTTAGTCATGTTATTACTGAATTTCTTCTAGGTGCATAACTGTGTACAAGGCCTGGGATCCACAAGATCCTCTAACACATGAGAAAAACATCATGAACATAAATGTAAATACATAAAAACAATAGCACAGGAATCCTTTTCCTAAAAGTTATAGAAGAGATGGCGAATATTCAAAAGAACTGTGCAAAGTTGGAGGATCGTGACTGAGGTTTGGTGGAGGAGATAGTGTGGCAGCAAGGAGGGCAAGGAGGGGAGAGAAAACTGGCTGCTCTCCAGGACCAGTTGCTTTCCTCCCCTCTGCAGTGTGGAACCCCAACCTTAGCCAGGTCTGCGGTCACCTGGAATAAAGACTACATTTCCCAGATTGCATGGTGCCAGGTGTGACCTGTGCTTGGGTTTTATTTTTATCTTTATTCATTTTTGTGGTATTGGGGTTTGAAGTCAAAGCCTACACCTTGAACCACTCCACCAGCCCTTTTTTGTGAAGGGTTTTTTTCAAAATAGGGTCTCGTGGAACTATTTGCCCAGACTGGCTTCAAACCACTATCCTCCTGATCTCTGTCTCCTGAGTAGCTAGGATTACAGGTGTAAGCCACTGGTGCCTGGCTGGGTTTTAGCCAATAGAATGTAAATGAAAACATTGTGTGAAATTTTCTGGAAATATCTTTAGTCAGAGGCAGTCTGCCTTTCTTCAGCCCTTCCTCCTTGATGGCTGGAATGCTGACAAGATGGCAGATACTCAATGCTGAGAGTGATGTAGCAGCAAGAATGTAGGAACCTTGGCCTCTGACAGGACACAGAGCCATAAGCACCTGAAGTGGGAGCCCTGATCTCATTTCCATAAGGGAGAAAGGAAAGCCTGCTCTATTGAAGCCCTCCTGTGGGGATTTTCTACCAAATGAAATAGTACCAACTCATAACAGATATATAGCATAATGAATAAATCAACCACTTAATAGGAAAGCAAAACTCTGGGAACCAGGATATTTTTCCAAAAGAGTGATCGTTTCATAGTTACTAGCAAAGGTTTTATTACCTGGGGCCATTCAGGCAGGTTTCCAGGTGAAGACGAACAAGATGGGAGAAATATTTGAGACCAACTCTTTATGAGCCTGCCATTGAAGAGACTCATTTTCCACAAAAGGCTGAAAGGTCACAAAAGAAAAATAAGGATTGTTTTCATTAAATGGGTAGAGCCAAGTCCTACCCAATTAGGCTAAAAATAACCACATTCAAAGTTGCAGGGAGATTAAATGTAACTTCTAGCCAATTTCTCTTAGCTCTTAAAAACTGCCATAGTCAAGTTGTCGAATAAGCCAGCAAAAAATCTACCACGCAACACCGTTTTTTTTTTCAGTATCAGTCTGCACAATGATAACATAATTAAATTACTCACAAACCTAATTTCTTGGTCATTTAACTTGACCTTTTCATTTCTTTGCAACTGGCAAAGTCCAAAACAAACATACAAAATTGAGTACTACTTTTTGGAAAAAAAGTCAGTATTTCTTTCAAGCACAACTAATTTTCAGAAATTTCCATTACCATTATCAAGCCACTGAGAGGATCTTTTGAATAATTCTATAAAGAACATAATACATGTTCCTCAGTTAATCTTTTCATTTTTTGCTTTTAAAGTTGCAGTAATATATTAAACTAGTATTTTAAATGCCTTTTGTGGTGTCATATTTTTTCCTTTAGTTTCTATCTGTATCTTTCCATAGAGAATTTTATAGGCATTTGAGAAATTCCATTCTGATAATGATTTGCATATTCATATGAATATTAAGATAGAATATTTCATATTCAGGAGAGATAGATAAATGTGGAGTGCAGATTTCAGAGACCTTTTAGATCTAGTTACAACTAGACTTGGACAACTCCAGGCCAAGCTTGGAAATGATCTTCCCATGGTCATGAGCCAGGCTGGTTACAGCAATTCTGTACTGACTGAAACAATGACAAATCTCACTTATTTCTTCAGAATCAATGAAAAGAGACGTTAAAAAAATAACATCTCAAATTGCTATAGGGATTTATATTTGATTCAAATATTTCCATCTTAATTTGAAGTCTTGTATTAAAATCTGTTGAGCCTATTATTTTTTAAGAGGTAGTAAGGTAAGATAAGCCAAATGAACAAAGACAGAAACTTGATCCTTTATACATTCTTTTTATAACACCTTCTAACTTAGCTAGTATCTAAAATAAAGCAGCTCTGCTTTTTCTTACCATCTCACCTCACTCAAATGACTCTTGACTCTGATCATCAGTGATAGCTGAACCAAGAAATGCACCAGAAGTTTATCAGTTCTTGTTCAACATGACCTCCTTGAGTCCTCTGACAATGATGAAGACTCTGAGAAACTCCCCTCCCTCTTGACCTCTGTAGCCCTGTTCTCTCTTGAGTTTTCCTCTCACCTCTTTTGAGTAGCTCTTCCACGTCTGTATGGCTGGCACTCCCCTACAGCAGTCCTGAAGTGCTGCTGTTCCCACAGGCTCCACCACGGCATTTTCTGCACTGTGTATTCCCATGGCTCAAGCACCATTCATGCGTTCAAGGTTCCTAAGTCTGAAAGAACAGCAGACTCAGAACTCTCTCCCAAGATTCATTGTTTCATATTTGCAACATTCTGGATGTTTTCACCTAAAATCCCAAACAAACCAACCCTAGTCAAAGACTCTGCTTCTTTCTCTCACTCCAACTTTATCTGACCACAAATCTTATTTATTCTACATGCTACATATCCTTCCTATTCATTATTTACTTTTTTTTTTTTTTGGGGTACTGGGGTTTGAACTCGGGGCCTTGCAGTTAGTAGGCAAGCACTCAAACACTTGGCCACATCCCCAGCCATCACTTACTCATCTTTGTTCCCATTGACCCTTGTTTAGCAGTCAGCTGAACCAATGCAAAAATCAAAAGAGAAACTAAAACTTTCAAAATAGTCTTCCTGCTTTTAATTTTGTCCCATGTCCATTGTACAACTTTTAAGTACAGTAAGCAACTTTCCTACCACATCTCTTGCAATGGCTTCTTCTCTTACACATCCATGGTAAGTAGGTATAAGAAACCTACCCATGGTAGGTATAAGAAACCATTTATTTCCTGACTTCTCTACCACTCACCACATGTCCATCCATGTTTCCTCCATCTTGAGCAAAGATTCAGTCAGATAACAATTCTGAGGCTACATCCTAGCCTTCTTTCTGGTGCAATGTTGCACATTCTCTTTCTTCAGTTCCTTGCATTTTGTGCATACATCTATTGCAGTAGTTTATGCTATGGTTCACAGTCATTTCTATACATGAGTGTGATTTCTTTCTGAGGGAAGGAACCACGTCTTACTCATTTTTTATAACGAACACCAGGCACAGTGCCTGATGCCCAAAAGATGTTAGTTTTAATATCATTAAGCAGAGAAGGGGGATATGTAGATGAAATATATATAGTCATTGATTTTAATGAAATAATACTATCTAAAATTTTGTCATGGAAAATGTACAACAGAGCCAGACATCGGTGGCCCACGCCTGTAATCCTAGTGACTCAGGAGGCAGAGATCAGGAGGATCACGATTCAAAGCCAGCCCAGGCAAATAGTTGGCGAGACACTATCTCGAGAAACCCTTCACAAAAATAGGGCTGGTGAAGTGGTTCATGGTGTAAGCCCTGAGTTCAAGCCCCAGTACCATGAAAAAAAAAAGAAAGAAAGAAAATGTGCAACAGACTAGCTATTATTCCACCAAAGAAGAGAAAAATTTATGAAGCAGCAATTTCTGCTTCATAAAATAATGTATCCATTCATCTTTGGGGTTACCCAGCTACTAAACAAGAAGTCTCAAGAGTTCATGAGTTCCCATTACCAGAGTCAAAGTGAACCAAGGTGGTCTAATGCACATAGCAAGAAGACAGCTGAATTCAGTATTCACATTGGATGAGGGTTAGACCTCGATAAGCCCTAACTAGCCTGTTGCCATTCTCTGAAACACACACACACACACAATTGAATGATCCTGAAGCAATTTTTGAGTAAGCCAGATTATTTGTAGCTCTTCTTCAACTCCATATTTTAAAATATCATATTTGAATTACTTAGTATATTCATAATAATTTATGTGAAATTTTATAATTCCACAATATTATGGTAGCAAATAACTAGAAATATATTACTTCCAAGTTGTGAGGGAGGAGCAAAAAATACCATCTCCTTCTCTCTACCTCAGTTTGATTTATTAGATGGATATACAGGTCAGATAAATGCAGATCAAATATAATTTTAGTTGCCAGTAAAGATCAACAGCATACAAGACTTCCTTATTCTCCACATCCTTGTTGACTCTTATTATCTTCCATTTTCTCAATAATGATCAATTAAACAGATGTGACAAAATATCCCAATGTAGTTGTAATTTGCATTTCTTTTGGTGATTGGAAATGTTGAACATTTTTTCATTTATGTATTAGCCATCTGAACATTTTTTTTGAGAGATGTCTATTTGGATCCTTTATCTATATTTATAGGATTATTTGTTCTTATTATTGAATAGTTTGAGTTTCTTGTAAATTTTGGATTTTATCCCCCTCATTTGATGTATAATTTGCAAATATTTTCTCCCAATCTGTGGGTTGTCTCTTCTCTCTATTAATTATTTCCTTTGTCAGGTAGAAGAATTTTAGTTTGATGCAATTCTATTTGTCTACTTTTGCTTCTGTTGCTGGTGACTACAATTAATAATAATGAATGGTATATTTCAAAATAGCTAAAATAATGGATTTAAAAAATTCTCACCATAAAGAAGTAAGTATTTAAGGGGATAGGTGTGTTAACTAGCCTGACTTGGTCATCCACAGTTTAGGGGTACATCAAAGATTTGGTGGTAGAGCGCATGCTTAGCTTGAATTCAATCTCCAGTACCACCAAAAAAACTCAAATCATATTGTACCCCAGAAATATATATAACTATTGTTTGTCAATTAAAATAAAACAAAAACAAGATGGACATCTTTGTTACTGATAAAGCCATATTCTTTTATAGGCCTAGTAAACTTTCCTGCATTGGAAATTCACACCCACCAAAGATGCAGGGTTCTTCTGTTCACCTTGCCTAAGTGGGAAGAGAATAGGTGAAGAAGTAGTGAAAGGACCCAGAAATACCCAACCAACTCTGCCAACTCTGCCTGCTCCTCCACCATTCTGACAACCAACTGAAGGAGAGCGAGTGACGGGTGGAGAGAGGCAAATCCTTCTCCTCTAGGTTCATCTTCTGGATTTAAGAGGGGGTTTCCCTCTTCCTGAGAACACATGACAGATATGGAAGAAGAGCAATGGCGTCTTTCCATTGTCTCTTGTTCTATAATTGCCTTTGGGTATATTAGAAAACACAATTTTACTTTTACATTTTGAAGGGTTAAAAAGGTAGGAGCTTAACTAAATCCTAAACTTTTGTCTTTAGAATGACTTGTTTTTTACTGTGTGCATTCAACAAACATTTGTTAGAGGCCTAGTGTGCTCCTGGGGAGTGTGGAGAGAGGTGCATGTGAGCATGCTAGCGACCAAAGACAGATAAGCCACTGTCAACATCCTTAAAACTCTGGTTGAAGAAGTAGCTGATGACCTAATATAATAATAACAAAATGAAGAAGGAGGAGGAGGAGAAAGAAGAAGGAGAAGGAGAGGAAGAGGAATAGCAGAAAGGGAAGGAGGAAGAAGAGAAGGAGGAGGAAGAGGAGGAGGAGGAGGAAGAAGAAGAAGAAAAAGAAGAAGAAGAAGAAGAAGAAGAAGAAGAAGAAGAAGAAGAAGAAGAAGAAGAAGAAGAAGAAGAAGAAGAGGAGGAGGAGGAGGAGGAGAAGAGAGTTAAATGTGATATATATGGATAATAGAGGCAGGAGTGTTATACTATGAACTCAGGAATGACTGATTCCTGGAAGAAAGGAAAAGAGACAAAACTAGCACAGAACAGTGAGGTCATGCTGTGGGCTTTGAAAGACCAATAGGAGTTCCTACAGAGGTGAGTGGTGATAAAAGAAACCTGCTGTGCCCCAGGAAGTGCGGAAGTGAAAGAAGACTGTAGAACATTTGAGTTATGTAAAGAATGTTCACATTCAACTTCAAGTTTATTAAAGCAAGGGAACTTTTACATAGTTTAATATAGTTCCCAGGACCTAGAGGGAGGCATTTTAACCAGTTAATAAGCAAACGATTGAAGGGATTAGTCATTAACCATTCACAAATGCCTCCTGCACCCCTTCTGTCTGGTCAGTTTCCAGCAGTCCTATCCTGGAAGTCTTGACACTTGAAATCTGGAGTTAAGCATTATGTCTATAATTTAAGGACCAAAATTATTTTGCTTCTGGGTCATTAAATTTTTTAGAATAGTTAGCCATTCTCCAGCATCATCTGTATTTGGTAGGATGCCATTCAGGAATGCATTCTGTATCTTAATTCAGGGAAGAGCTTTTATTAAGGAAACTCATGTCCTCCAAAAGACAAAGGATGCCAAAGACAGTTTTTTCTAACCTACTATAAATTTCATAACATCAGCATCATGCTAAGCAAACCAGCAAACAGAGATTCTCATAGATATAGTCACCTTGGAGGCCAGCACCACCACCAGGGGCTCCAGACCTCTTCTCCTCCCGAAGTCTTTGTCAGCCTTGATATGCTTTCAGGGCAGCTGAAGCAATGGCAGGATTTTGTTTTTTTTTTTCTTTCCCATCCTGCCCCTTTCTTCACAGATTCAGTGGCGGTGATAAAAAAGCCTGACCTGTAAATCTGACAGTTGAACTTCCCTAAGTACAAGGTCTAAGTACATCTCAGCCTGCATCCTGTGTAATTACAGCATTTGGCTGGCACTGCTGAACAGGGGCTGAAATCCATCAGGTTCTAGTTAGTCTGCCTTGAGCAACCGCAGCTGGCCGGCCGGAAGGACATGATTATGAAATAAAGTTGTTGTGTCTCAATAATAAAGATTACAGATATGCAAGGCAAGCTCCATGGAAAGCTAGCCTTTCCCAGAGACGTCTGCACAGTGTGAGGAAGGAGGCATCACCGCTGAAGTCTTCTTTACTTCATGTTTCATCTGCTTTTTTGTCTCCTCACTGAACGCCCCACTAGTCCTCAGTTTTCATTACACTTCAGTGTCATTTTGATCCATTTTTAAAATGACAGGATCATAAAGGATTTCTCTGGCAACTGTGAAAAGGCACAGATTGTAATAGGGTGGTTAGGAGTGATACCCAACCTGCCACTCATCAGCTGAGGGACCTTGGGTGAATTACTTATCCTCCCTATGCCTAAGTGCTCACCACTTCCAAATAGAAATGATAATAAAGCCTGCCACACAGGGCTGTGACGAGTAAATGAGTTAGCCACCTTACAATCCTTACAAGAGTGCCTGGGGTTTCATAACCATGTTGAGTGTGCACTGCAGGTCACATTAAAACAGCTACAAAGGCGATCAGGGCTGCATGGTAATCCTGTTGGATGTCATCCGTAGCTCCACATTCTTGTGTCTGAACTTGACGTCAGGCTATTAAAGTTTAACCAAAGTCTCAAAGGTACAGTGGTCTGTGGTTAGACGCCTCACATTAATGCAGCTACCTGTGAGAGACAAGAATGTACTCAAAGACGCTTGTGTGGCATTGTGTCTGGCAGGGGAAGGTGAGAGCCAGGGAGGACAGGAAGATGATGTGCTGATAAGTCTAGACTCGGAGGCCCCGCCTCTTCCTGATTGCAAACTGCTACGACACTGAGAACACTGGATGCCGTGATGGTTGAAGGTCCTCCTGCGAAGGAAGTTATTTTAGTTCCTGGGTTTCCAGGCATGCTATGGCATTCACGCTGGCTATCCTGCTGACTCCTCTCTTCCTAATTACATCCCTAATGTCAGTGCACCCTTAACAGCAACCTTAATTACATACCTACTGCAAATGCCTGCCAAACTCCTCTTTGTCATCATTTCTGTCGGTCTGTTAACAGTAATCAAAACAAGCTCACAGAGACACAAGAAAGCCATCAGTGGGAGCACTAGATCAAAGACATGCTGAAGAATACACATTTGTAAATTGTTTCTCTTCATTTTCGGTCTTACTGAAAACGTTTGCAATTGCTTTTCAGTCATGTTGCAATCTTCCTTTTCATTTTCATGACTCTTTCCTGACTTTGTAAGAAAAGTCAGGAAAGTTTTGGGCAGATTCAGATGTCCACTGTGTGTTTGCCTATGAGATTCCAAAACATCATACATAGATTGATGTATTTTTGTCAACTGTATCTTCTTTTACTTCAGCTAAAGAACATGTTAAAACATGCAACTCCTCTTCAAACAGAGGGGAAAATGTTACAATCCATTTCAGGGTCATTATGATGTATTTTATAATCTAAAATGAAATTCTGCCTAACTACCTAATGTCAAAGAGACTTACTCAAGAGTCCTAATGGAAAAATAATTGAAGAATAAATGTACTATTAAAAGTAATGGCCACTGTTGATTGAAAGACTTTTTTTTTAACTTGGATTCTCTGGCATTCAGATAAAGCACCTGTGTTTGGTTGTGCAGTAGAGACTCGGTTCCAGGAGGCTTCTTCTCAGAGATCACAAAGGGCAAATCCTACTGTTACTACTAACTTCTAAACTCGTCATCATGAAGACAGGATGTTCACAAGATCCGTGCTTTTGGGGTGGGGGGTGTGTGTGTTACGTGTGTGGTGTGTGATGTGTGGTGTGTGTGGTGTGTGGAGTGTGGTTTTTGTGTGGTGTGTGTGGTGTGTGGAGTGGTGTGTGTGTGTCAGTGATGTTTTCTTTTCAGTGATTTTTCATTGCTTTTCTTTCCGCTGCTCTGGAGCGAGCTTCCTCACATCTGTTTTCCATTTTTCGTTCATTTCCCCTCGTGACCTTCGGCCTATTCTGGCGTTTGGAAAGAAAACAGGAATGAAGCTGACATTATCTGGGCCTCTCTGAGCACAGGCTTAGCTCACCTTATGTCTAAGGCTGAGGCCAGCCCTGACCACAGAGGTGGTTTGTGGCTGGTTTAGGTCTTGTATCACCCCACAGTGACCTGCAGCCTGCAGTGAGGTCCCTGGTGCCGCAGGCCTCAGGCACCTGGCCACTCGCTCTAGATCTGTGGCCGCCCTGGACAACTGCTCTTCTTATAACTGCATCATGGCCTTTGGTCTCTCACAGAAGACTGAAGAATGATACTAATGTAGGATGAGAATTATTTTGCAAATGTGTTGGCTGACACAGGCACTTAACGATCATGTATAACACAAAATTATTCATCAAAAGTATCGATGAGAAAATAGGAGTTTAATGTTACACAGATGCACATTCTATCTTAGAACACAGAAATCCTAAACTACACAGAACCCATGGGTCGGGAATATGCTAAAAACACCAGTGAAGGAGAGAGTATCCAAAGGAACTCCTTCTTGTTTCTTTTTTTCCTTTTGGTGGTGCTGGGTTTTGATCTCAGGGCCTCTCAATCTACCCCTTGAACCACATCCTTGGCCCTTTATACTTCAGTTTGTTTTTCAGATACAGTCTCGTATTTTTTTCCTTGACAGCCCTCAGTCCATGATCCTCCTATCTTGGCCTCTTTAATAGCTGGGATTACAAGCATGACCAGTTTGTTGAGACGGGGTCTTACTAATTTTTTTGCCTGGGTTGGCTATCAATCCCAATCCTCCTATCTCTGTCACCCAAGTAGCTGGGATTACAGGCTTAAGTTACAACACCCAGCAGGTCTCCCATTTTTTAATGATGCTAAATGTAATACACACTTGCAAACCTCCTTTCTTCTTTTTTTTTTTTTTTTGCAGCAGTGAAGTTTGAACTCAGGGCCTCATGCTTCCTAGGCAGATGTTCTACCATGTGAGCCACTCTGTCAGCCCTCTTTCTTTGAACTGGATTACAATTTACATACAGAGAGTGCACAGATCTTATGCATACAACTCAGCAGGTTTTCCTACATGAACGGCCTTGTGTCCCCTGCTGCCTTCTTTTTTCTTTCTAGTGGGACTTGGGTTTGAACTCAGGGCTTTGCATTTGCAAAGCAGGCCCTCTACCACTTAAACCTCACCTCCAGTCCATTTTGTTCTGGCTATTTTGGAGATACAGGTCTTAGGAACTATTTGCCCATGCTGGCCTCTAACTGAGATCCTCATGATCTCAGCCTCCCAAATAACCTTCTTAAACAAAGTATGCTTGACAAAGATTATCATTTTCTTGATATCCAGGTTCATAAATGGTTATGCTACAATGTAATGATGCCCTTGAGGTTATGGCTGGAACTCCTTGCCTCTACTTGAAAAGTTGACAATACTTCATATTATGTCGGTTCTGCTGTTTCCTATGGTTTCCTCTTTAGTTGCTTTAACTTACCTTATATCCATGGACTCACATGGGATCAAATAATGTTTTCAACAAATGTTTCTGTAACAAACTGGACATCAGGTATCCACACTGCAGGCATCGTAACACAGTGAGACTAAACAATACCAAGTATTTTGTCCTTAAGAGATACATCTTAGTAATGTTAATGAACCTTTACAGATTACACAATATCCTGCATATGCAAACTGAGTCTGGCTGCATTTCCCTTTTGTAAGTTCTACTGACTAGAATCACCTGTTCTGACCAAAACTGAACCTAGAGCAATGCCTGGAGGGTCTCAGTCGCAGGGAACCTCAGAGACAAGATGATGGGTAGAGAAGAGCTCAAGTGACACTATGGACTGAAACAAGTCCTATAAAAGACAGTTAACAAACAACAGCGCAGAGGGCACACACACTGTTGAATCTATTTGAAGCTTCAGAGATACGTATGTCTGTAAACATTTCTCCACCGTGTTCAGAGCTGGGAAGGATTGTGCTGCACAATTTTGAAGCAGGTATTTGATTACAGTTTCTTTACAACAAATAGGTTCAGTTGGGATGATTTGGAAGAACCATACCCAACTTCAAGGGAGGGTTCTCAAGTGACACTTGGAGTTCTAAGCTGTCACCTTCCCCTCTGTCCAGGATATACCACTCAGGTCAATGTAAAGGGGGCAGAAGGGAAGTGAACAAGCCTGGTTCTTCAATGTCCTGTTCGGTAAAGGCAAAACTGCAGAGGACTACACATGGTCCAAGACAAATGGAATTTCCTGAGAAGTGGAGATCACTGATGTTGGATCAATGATTGCTACTCAAAACTCACTGCATGAAGGTAACCATGCCTTGCCCAGGGTAGATGGCCAACCTGCAAAACCCACTCCACGTACAGCCTCTGAGGTCACTTCAGAGAAGACACAGCTTCTCACTCTTTTTGTCAGTAGCAACTAGTTTTACAAGTTTTCTTTAAAGAATCAATCACTTACTATTTATCTAAAAAAAATACTTTGCATACAACTTCCCTTACATCTATGATGTAGAGAAGAATTTAAATGGACCTGACAAAGCTTGGTTTTCCATCGAGTTTGCAAAGTAAGACTTTATTTTTGGTCAACTTTTTCCTTGTGAATCTTTTTTTTTTTTTTTTTTTTTGCAGTACCAGGCTTGAACGTAGGGTCTGTGCTTCCTCAGCAAGAGCTCTGCCACTTGAGCCATTTCACCAGCCCTTTCTTGTGCATCTGAAGAGCAATTGTTGCAGTAATGAAAGAGGATTTTTTCTTGACATCAGAACTGTGA